AGCACCTTCAATCATTCCAGCAGAAATCGACCGTCGTGCAAGGAACATTGATTTTTATTAATTTCAATCGGCATCCTTACAATAAAATTATGTATGCATATGTATATGTAAAGTCCATAAAATACGCCAATAAAAATTTGGTACTTTTTTAAATTCAAAACTTGGCAACACTGCCTTTTGTTCGATGCTTCCTCTTTTTCTTGTCGAATTCGTCTTGCTCTCTCATTCTGGTATTTATTGACGTCACGGCCAGTTGCTCTCAGCTCGATTGGCGCAATCTTGTATTCTGTTACGATGTTTCCACCATTCGTTATTCGCTCTCTAAGTAATTCGCTAAGTAATTCGTGAATTACCCTGTTTCCACATCCCATTAGTAATTCGTTTGCAGCTCTATTTCTTGTTCTTGTTCCTCGCTATTTATTATTATTTTTGTGCACTGCAAATATCGAAGATGGAGCTAAAATTTAAGTTATGATCAACAATTTTAATTTATATAGAGAATATTTTATTAATTATTCTATAACTAGAAAAAGTGTCGGCAAATAGGACCAGGCCGGTGAAAACTTCGATATATTTCCGATAAATATTAGAGAACGCACCGATTCGTTCGTCATTCGCATGGTAATTCGATCTGAATTACCTACAAATGAGGTAATTCGCTCTCAAAATTTCGTATGGCGAATTACGTAATTCGGAAGGTAATTGGCCAGGCGAATGACGAATGGGAGAGCGAATTACGAATGAGAGAGGAAATTACGAAGCGTGGAAACGCCGTATATCATTCTTGCTCTATTCAGTGTTTACACGTCTCTAGCGAGATTTTTGTCTTAATGTCGCGTTTTTTCTCTACCGTGTACACTTAGCTTTAGCTTTAGGCAATATCATGAAATTTCCGATACGATTCGACTCTCAAAAAACGACTTGCATTCGACACGACTCTCGCAATGAGGCTGTAAATCTAACGATGTAATTTTGCATCGCGGGTGAGTTCCAAAACTAAATTCGGAGTATCAAAAATAAAAAGAAGATATTTTTATACCCGAGCGCACTTGTGCACAAGGGTATTATAACTTTGTTCACATAACGGTTGTTTGTAACAGGCAAAACGAATCGAGATAGATATAGACAAATGTATACATAAATGATCAGGATGAAAAGAGAAATCGATTAAGCGCTGACTGTCTGTCCGTCCGTCAGTCCGTCCGTCCGTCCGTCTGTGCACACGATAACTCGAGTAAAAATTGAGATATCTTAACGAAACTTGGTGGGTGCACTTCTTTCGGGCGTAGGACGGATGGTATTGAAAATGGGCAAAATCGGACAATAACCACGCCTACCTCCCATATAACGGTAATTTTCAGAAATACGAAAACTGCGATGTTTTAGTAACTACTGAAGATTATTCACTCAAAATTGATATTTACTATAAGTTTTAGACGAGAAATAAGAATATTATAAATTTTTGGAAAATGGGCGTAGCCACGCCCACTTATGGTTACATGTGTATATCTTGGTAACCGCTGCACCAATATCTTCCAAATTTGGCACAGTTGTTGACCTTGGTATAACATACGAAATTACCGAAAATTTTTAAAATCGGACAATAACCACATCCTATATAACGGTAATTTAGAGAAATACGAAATCTTCGATAAATCAGTAAATATTAAAGCTAATTTATTCAAAATTGATGCTTGCAACAATTCTTTACCAAGAAATACGCTTAAGACAAAATTTTGAAAAATGGGCGTGGCACCGCCCACTTATGATCACATATATGTATCTCGGTAACCGCTCTACCAATTTGTACCAAACTCGGTGTGGTTATTGTGCTTGCCACATAGAAGCAAAACGTTGAAAATTATTGAAATCGAACTAAAATTACGGCCGCTTTTCATATAACAGTAAATTTCAGAAATGCTTGAAACTTTAATATTTCTAAATTTAAGGACGCTAATTTACTCAAAATGGATACACCCCGGTTTACCATGTAGCGGTAGCTTTCGGAAAGGTGAAAAACGTATATTTAATACTTGCGCCGGGTATTTAATGTTCGGCTCCGCCCGAACTTAGACTTTCTTACTTGTCTTGTATATTTTTTATGAGCACTAAATAAACTCCTCACATCGGCTCACTCATGGATTTGCATGTGATGTATTTGTCAAATAGTTTCTTTGTGTTGATGGCATCATTTTTATTCTTATCGCTCCAGGTTTTAAAGTGATGCGAAAAATGTTCATCAGTCACATTTTTAAAACACAAAACTTTAAACAACAAAACTGCAAAGCTTTGTACGCCAAACTTCAAATTCAGAAACTGACAAACAAGAAAAGACCGAATCTAGATAAATCGATGACAAACAACCAAGCAAACAAGAAGCTCAAGAAGAGTTCCGCCCTCTCATCCTCTTCAAAGCAGGATGGTCAAATGGGGTTGTCATTTACGCATATCTGCCATACCTAAATTGGCGCGTCAAGCGCCAAGCAACTGTCAAAAGTCCTCATGCCCATACAATTTGTATGAAGCATCCCACAATAACGCGGCGCTTACGCCGAGCAAATGGAATTTTCATTTTGTTGAATTTGGATGCAGAAGACGCAAAGAAAGAGAAAGGACAAAAAAGTGAAAGAGGAAACGAGAATAAAAACGAGAGGACCTGAGAAAACGTCAAAAATTACGACGCGTTGATTTGGCAAGAATGATAGAATACAAGATTGCGCCAATCGAGCTGAGAGCAACTGGCCGTGACGTCAAAATATTGTATGTATGGACTATATGAATACATAATTTTATTGTGAGGATGCCGATTCAAATTAATAAAAATCAATGTTTCTTGCACAACGGTCGATTTCTTCTGGCATGATTGAAGGTGCTGCACATATTTCATTGTCGCTTATGATTGTCACTGTGCCATGATTTTGTTTAAATTTTTGTAAAATTGCTTAGCACACTTACGATTGCTATAAATTTTGCTTCCATTTTTTAAGATTTTCTAATTTGAAGTCTTCAAGCTGAAAACAAAAGCACCAAAAACGAACCAAGCACAAAACTCAAAAATTTTTCGCGTTTTGAATACCCACTAAATTTGGTGCGAAAAGCATTAAGTTGGCAACAGTGAATGTAAAAAAAGTATATGACGTCCATGAACGAAAGACACAAGATCACGCGGGAAGGAAAGAACGAAAA